CTGCTTTTAAAAGGTCTTTTTTTCCCTTTTTTCCAGTGACTAATGATGCATTTAACCCCGGAGAGCCTCTGATCTGAACATCAGACAGTTTCTGCAGCAGAGGAACAGAAAAAAGGAGGTGGGGGAGGGAGGGTGGATGAGCTTCCTGTTGTTCTAACTTGGCTTACTGGTAGGGTTCTCAAATCAAACTAGAAATCTCACCACTTAAGGCAAACCCCACTCAGACCCTTGATCCAGCTGCCAGATGGCCTCACCCTCTTGTCCAGAGCCGTGAGACAGAGCAGTGCAGCCCAGGGGAGCCAGGCTGTGCCACTGGCCCCTGTGACAGGTGCCCTCAGCTCTGTCACCTCCTGTGTCCTACAGAGACACTGACAACACCTTCTTCTTAAAGAAGTGATAGCCATTTCCAGTTCTACAGGTGAAATCTAGAGGGATACCAGGCCTTCTGTTTGCTTCTGCAGCCTCAAAGTTTACAAGGAGTGAATGCGTAAGAACGGTGCAGATTCCTCTGTGTTTGGGTCTGGGATTGTCCCTGAGGGTTAAACAGAGTTTAACAGAGATATCAAGTGTGATTTCTAAGAGCATGGAAGAATTCTGCAGTGCCTGAAATACATGGATGAAATCTCATGCCACAGTCTTTCAGCACTGCCTTGGCTGGATTAGGTTTTCTTCCCAGGAAAGAGCTGGGCAGAATGGTCAGCCCAGCTGCTGCAGGTACTCTGTGGGCAGGACTGGCACAGCACGGTCACTGTCACTCCTGCCATACCAGCAGGGTGTCCCAGGCAATGACTGTACTGCCACCCAAGCTGCCAGTGCTCAAGAGCCCCTATTCACTGTGCCTGAACCAAAATTCTCACTGGATTTGGTCTCCAAAACCAAAAGGCACATGGCCTTGATCATGCATGGAAGAGCCTCCTTTTTCTTCTGCAGTTGAGTCTGGAAAAGCAGGAGGTTTTCCTGGAATTATTGGATTGAAATTTTCCTGGAATTGACACCGATTCCTGAGCCTTGTGCTGCTCTGGTGAGCAACCTCAGGGCTGCACACTCCAAATCAGCCCCTGTGGTACACAGGGTGCAGGGCAAGCAGCTCTGGAAACTGAGCAAGGGGAGGAAGGGGGGAGACAAAGTGACTTACAAGCAGTGAATCGCAATCTCCTGTTTGATATCGTGTGTCTCTTTGTGAGGTTCTGTTCAATTCTCAGAGCTGAACAAGAGCAAAGGAGATGGAAACTGCACCAAAGGGGAACACATTGTCACGGTCTAAGCTGATTAAGGCTGAGTGACTTGGAATACACAATACAAATAACTGCAAAATCCTAGAATGCTGCTCTTCCAGAAGCCCTAAACTCCTGTGTCTTGCTTTTCCAGTCTCCAGGGAACAGTTTAACAACTGCTGCTTAGACAGCCCAGCCCAGGCAGGGCTGAAGAAGCTATGAGCAGCTCCAGGGCTCAGCAGTGCCTGACTGCAGCCTTGTACTGAGCTCTCGAACCCTGGGCCATGAAAATAGCTTGACACAAAGAATACAGAAACCTCTAACAGGTTTACAGGCATTTTTCCAGCTTTGGCATCTATCTCCACTTCAAGTTTGTAGGCACAAGTCTGCTTTGTGTGTGTTCCTACCCCCCTGCAAATTGTGTGCCAGAGCTGTCTGTGCTGCAGCCGGACCGATTGACAGCTTTGCCTCCAGCCAGAATTCTGATTCAAAGGAATATCCAATTCTGTGTAATACAGTTTGCATGAAATTTTTACCTGCAACAATTCCCCAATGTGCTGAACTGCATGATACTGACTTATACAATACATCATTTTAGCAGCAGAGTTAAACAAAATGCAAAGCCAGACTCAGTTTGATTTTTCTCTTGTGATCACAGATATTATACCACATATGAGAGCTGTAAGGCATTACTTCCATTATTTTGTAGTATGTAAACATTAAATACAACACGTGTTTCAATAAAATCAAATGTTTAAACATAGAGTTTAAAAAATATTTCACCTATAAAAATTAAAAATTAACCCCAAAAATGTTTTCAGATAAAAGAATGAAAGTATGTGAAATATTGAAAATGACTACTTCAGTATTATTGAAATACTTTAAATTTTTTAAAAATGAAATGTTAGAATGGAAGAATTTCCATAGACATTTGATTTAGATGAAAACATATTTTCTAACAGAACAATATTCCATTGAAAAAAATTCCAATTGCATTTTCTAGTGGGCAATTTTTCAATGACATTTTCAGAAGAACAATCTGCATGTGAAAAATTTTCCAACAAGCTCTTGTGAGCTCTTAAAGGCAGGAAGAAGTAGTTTTCAAATAATCCATTTTGAAAGGCAGTTATTATTCTATGTTTTACACCTCTTACAGTAAAAGCAGCAGACCAAACACAGCGCAATTTCCAAGCTTTCTGTTACCTCCTTTCTAACTTAAAATACAAATTGCTGAGAAATTTCCCCAGACTTATATTAAAAGCCATGAGTGATTTTAAAATGGGGTGTGCTGTGAATGTTGCTTACCTTAGGTAGGGATCCACACCTGGGATCCACACATGGCAGCCAGGCTGGAGCTCTGGTGTCCAAGCACAGCCTCCAGTTTCAACTCAAGTCTGCAGCTTGAATTTCCCTCTTTAGACTGATTTTGAGAAGGCATCTGAATTTTGGTGGTACCTGCAAGTCCAGTTATTGACCCCAAATCTCAGATCAAGTGCTATCTAAAATACAGAAACAACCAAAGAATAAATCAACATTAAACTTGTCCCATCTTTTATGAGATTGGGTGGAGAATCTGATTGAGATTCCATTGTGACACTGTTTACAGGGAACATTTTCAACATTTCCAATTCTCATTTTGTTTTCTTAATTGCTGTTCCCAGTTTTTCAACCACATAACCCCTACTGAAGCTGGCTATGCCTGCCGAGCTTTTGTGCATGTGGTGAGCCCAGGTTTGTGTAACTGGGATGTGCATGTGAGGAGGGTGATACCTCACAAGGGAGATTTAGCAGAATGGGAAATACCACAATGATCTACAGCCCAAATTCTGACTCTGCACTTCAAATCTGCTGGTTCAGGACTTGGAATCCACACTGATTCAGGCAGTCTGACATTCGGGGAAAATGATGGCCTCTTTTCAAATCTGAAT